TTCTACTACAAACCTTCTGCTTCCTTGTTTTGGCCACAAACCCAAATAAACACACTTTCTGTTGTTGAAGGGGTGGCAAGCATTATAGGTAAAAGCAAAATAGACCACTACAAACCTGCTTCCTTGTTTTGGCCGCAAACCCAAATGAACACACTTTCTCTCTGTTGTTGAAGGGGTAGCAAGCATTATAGGTAAAAGCAAAAGGGAAATAAAAAGTTAAAAAAGACAAAAACATGGTAGCTTTTATATTACATTAAAACTATAAGAGTTAGCCTTTAGGGTGCCACCACACTTTGTCTTTTTTAACTTTTTATTTCCATTTTGCTTTTACCTATAATGCTTGCAGACTAAAATATACTACATAATGTATTAAGAAATATAAAAGTCAGTCTTTAAGGTACCACCACACTTTTGTCTCTCTCTCCTAGCTGATGCTCATTCCCAAAGCCCTCTCCATCCTCACCCAACCTCCATTTGTGTGTGTGTATATTATAGCTGGGGACAAACCAGTAAACACGGCCAGAAGTGGAACTGAAGTCCAACACTCTTAAATTCACTTTACAGCTCTTATTCAGAAGCTGTCCTTAGAGAACTATGATTTCTGGATCTCTTGAATTTTTACTGCACCATCCACAGGTAAGTGGTGTCTACCTGGATGAAAGCCCCTCTGGGCTGAAAACTAGCATGCCTGGGATTTGTTAGCGGTCTAATAGAGGTGTGTACACACAGACAGAGTTGCTGCTTTTGCTTTCTGCTTCATTTCTCACCCTGTCACTCCCTCCTGCTCTCCCCAAAAGAGCTTAGAAGTCATTTGGGGGCAGTTCCTTCACTTCCCCACTGTTCTTGCTCCCTGCAAAAAAAAAATAGGAGGAATGGGACTGCCATGAAATGAAGGGTGCATCTTCCAAGCACTGCGTAGGAGCATCGGCGACGCCACTGGCACTACCATCACACTTGCTACTACCTCAACCTTGCATGGCAGCAGCCAACGTGGTTTCCACTGGAAGGCCACCCTACCACCACCTCGCGCCAACTGATGCAACACCCTCTTCTTCCCTCTCTCACACAACTCCTCCAGAACACACTCCGCCTCCAGCAGTTGGGTGTGTGCGGTTCTTGTTATTTTTGCATGTGCGTGGCTTTTGTGTCGGATTGCTTTTTTCCTTTCAGGCCTTCCCAGGCAACCCACCCTCAGCCCCTCGTTTGTCTCAACAGCAAAGCACCCTTTGCCACATCACACCCTCCCACCTCTTCCTTTGCACACACACACACACACACACCCATGTCCAACCCACACTTCTAGCAACAAAGCACCCCCACCCACCTACCCTTCCTCCCCCAACTGGTGCCGCTCCTCCTGCTCATGCCTTGCACTACAACTCCCATCAACCCTTCAAAGCCCAAGTGCACCACGTTGGGGGGGAAAAGGGTGAGCAACCTCCCGAACCAGAAAGACCACTGTCCCCTCCTCTCTCTTCTAAGGTGGACAAACAAAAAAAATAAATAAATAAACCTCCAATTCCCCTTTGGAAATGTCACCCCCCCTCTATTTTGTCTTTAAAGCACGCTAAATGGGAGAGTGGAGCTTCCTTCTTTGCCTCCAGTTTTGCAACCCCCGGGGGGGGAGGTCTTTGGACTACAACTCCCAGAAACCCCTACTCAACCAGATTTCAGGAAAGAAGAGAGGAGAGAAGTCCTACTCTATCCAGGAGCTGCTCCGGTTCCCATCATCCCCACTCCCCATTTCAGGAAAGAAGAGAGGAAAGAAGTCCTACTCTATCCAGGAGCTGCTGCTCCGGTTCCCATCATCCCCACTCCCCACCGCAGGTCCTAGTTACCGTAATACCTGTAATAGCTGAGCAGCCCGTTGCTCAGGACGAACCAGCGGCGCTGGTAGCCCTTCAGGTAGTTGGTCCACTTGAAGAGCCACCCCTTGTAGGTATCCGAGCCGGGCCC